CACCTCTGTAACGTTGTTGTCTCCTTGTTGTATTATGTCTACGCACTTCACGATTATGCATTTTTTCGTTGTCATGCTCAAGAATCGAAAAAATAAAAATGAATATAAATTCAGAGTTGTACCGATGTATCGGTATCGGGTATTGGTATCAGCAATATTGGCGATTTTTTCAAAATCGGTTATTGTATTGGTATCGGCTGAATATACCGATATTTTCGATATATTTATTACTTTGGTCTGATCTAAAATGTTTCAAAAGATCAGTTAGTGTTCGAATGTTAAAGTTATTTTTTTGCGTTGAGGGATCAAGTTCGCGTCATCTACTTCTTGGTTAACTCTGTGCCATGCCCGTCCCTCGCGAGAAGACACGTGTATTGTAAAGTCACGTTTTATTACTATTTTGAAAAATACATATTCTGTTTTTTTAAAAAACACAGCATTGAATAGCCTGACAAATGTTCAACAAAACACAAACGAAGATTTTATGTTTTTTTTCAAAGATCGCGGTACAATTGACATGAATGTGATTTTTTTTTTTTTGCTAATCTTAACACAGAAGATTTGATCGTCAATATATTTTCACTTATATACTTCTGCATCTGCGTACATTCCCACCCAAACATATGCCGCTGTTAAACCTGTCTGGCGCATCGTGCACTTGATTACTGTACTCTGCGTGCTTTCCTATGTTTGAGTCACGTAGGCGAGTATCACACGCGAGAGGATTGCTGGACTCGTCTTCGCAGTAAGATACGGTCGTTTCCGTATCCCAGTGGTCGGCAAAATACGACGGCCAAAGTAAAATAATCAGGCCCGGGACGCTCCACTGAATGGACCGTTCCCCGACCTTTGAACCCGGAAAATTTTTCAAATACTTTAACATTTTAAAATTTTCGGTGCGTATTTTAAGATTGGTTTTGCGAGTTGTTGCCATTAAAACGGGTATTTGTTTAAACTATCATTCTAATTCATACCATTCAACAATCTGTTTTTTAAAAGTACCAGTAAAGAATTTTAGCCTAGTCTATCAAAGATATTTCTACACCAAATTTTTGTCTACTGTGAATAAACTGAAACTTCTGGGGAGACAAAGTGATCATTGACTTATTTTATTTATATTTAAATTACCGAAAAACGATTAAAAACTAACGAATATAATTCAAAAATGCCAAAATGAGGTAATTTTCACGACCACGTCTGAAAATCTGTCTGAGTGAGAAATGTGTCTGAGCGGATGCAAAAGGGGGCATTGATACGTTTAATTTTGCATCTTGCTGAATGACCAATGTCACGAAGTGAACAAGAAGGTCTATGCCCGGAGAAACATCCAAACGGCGGTTTTGGCCAGAAGACATATTCGACAGCCAATAAGTATGAACGTTCATTTTTGCTCATTCTATACACTCAAATTAACGAATACAAAAATGTAAAAACAACAATAAATCTAGTTGGTGGTGACTTTATTGTAATTGAAAGTCAAATGAAAAATATCATTCTTTAAAAGTGGACTACACTTTCAAACTCTTTTGAAATCATGAAAATATTTTTCTCGGCATTATTAACGACAAATCCTAATCACGCAAAATCGTGTTTCGTTCCATAAATTTCACTAACGGTGCAGATACCACAAACATGATCCCTTCACGCAATAAAATAATTTCAACATGCGCGTTCTAACTTATTTTTTTAAACATTCTGAATGAGATAAAAAAAGCTGAACATATCAAAAACATCGGTCTACATTTATCTGATACTGATGCCGAAAAAATGGCCGATACCAATACATCATTGATTGTGTTAGAAGAAATTGTCTATGCACCATATACATGAAATATGTAGCCTTGTGTAACTAGAGGTAAAGAACAAGCCGGGTACGTTGATCGTTGTGAAATACCTTTGTCAAGAGAGAAAAGTTAACTTATTAAAAATCGGTCTTATATTCTACCTTTCATGAATGATATGAAAAGTTAATATAAACAAAGGTGAGAAAATATAAACTTAATTTTTTATGATAATAATAATGCAGGCTAGCGCATGTTAGCTCCATGCTTGGAACAGTTGAAGATTGCTTAGTTAGTCGTTACAACGAGAATTTCAAAATTGAATAAGGCGAAAATAGTGAGACTTGATATAATACTGAAGCATGCTGAATTGCGTACACGCAATTTATCAAACAAAAATTGAATTGAAGTCTCAGATTTTCTCCATTAAATTGAATTGGAACCATGTTCATTGTTCGGAACATACCAGGGTGTTTGCCATCACCAAAGAATGTCATAGAATTTGTCTGAATAACAACCTAGTTTCAGATTACTCCAACCCTCCAAGAGTCTGCAGTTGCAATTGTTCTTTTCTAATTTTATTAGGCATTGGGATGTTCCGTACCGAGATTGAGGATGGAACACACTGTTATGTATTTTCTACGGTTGATGCAATGTTTTGATAATGACATTTACCCATACTTCGACACATCATACATTGACTTTATTTATTGTCATGCATACGTCAGTGTCTGAAGGGATTTGCTTCGAAGAAATTGTCCCTCGGAGAATAATGGAAAAGTTGTTGATACGTTTTAAGCAAAATGTACAGCAAAACAATTTGAATAGTTCTCCAAATAAAAATAAAATAAATGATGAAAATGCACGCACATTTGCGATGCTCAATATATAAAAAGCAAAACAGAATTCCAAATAAAGATTTTTTGTACTAAATTATCAATTAATTTCCAACTAAAAAAACCTTCATGCCTACAACTAACTGTTTTTTGAACCATGGAGAATTGATCGCAGTTCTCATATTACTTAACGCCTCACATTTTTAAAGCAGATGCGTAAATTCATTTCATACAAATGCAATGACATAGAAGGGTGTTGTGCTTTTTCAACGCATTGCTCGTAACCGTAACATACAGAGTATGGGAAAACATTAATTGTGCGTTAAATTATTTTAAATAAAAATAGCTTTATCCAGAATAACTTAACCAATTCCTCCCATAGATTGTGACATCGGCATTAATAGCTTTATATTAATCAATCTAGTACGTGTAGCGCTCTTAGACTAGCCTTGTAAAATAGATACTTTTTTGATTGTAGATAGTCTTATTCTCTTAATCGGCGTCACTTATTTATATATAAAGTGTATTTAAGTTTTTTGATGAAGACTGATACTTGGGTGTGACCAATCATTTGATAGAAAGACAATTATCAGATTGAACAACATGAATATCTTATATAGAAATTATTCAGCCATATAGCACGTGGAACGTTGTGAAAATTTAGGGTTTGTGATTCGCAATCCACAAAGTTATTCATATGCTGCTTTTTTTTAACTTCATCATTTTTAACTATCAATGTAGGGCAGAAGTAACACGACAAAAACTAACGAAGATGTTCGATTTATTTCTGCCAGGTGAGAAATTCAAGTTTAAATTATATTTTAGCTTTGATTTTGTGGTTTTGGAATAATTATCTGTGTTTGGAATGTTTTATTCGTTCAAAAGAATGAAATAAAACAGAAAAATCCAGTACGCGTGAGGTGTCCGTATTGAGGACACTCCTGCATTTTAAGAGAGGCAATTCGGATTTATCAATTAAGTGAAGTGGAAATGGTGTTTGTATAATCTCAATGATTCATTAATTGAGAAGTGTGGTCTCCAAGGATATATCCACAGCGCTGAATGGAATCCGTTCAATTCAATTTCATTGAGATGAGCGATGTTTTAATATTGTTTGCCAAGCTTTGCAACCACATTGACAGCAGTCTTGAAACTCTTCAAAGCTTCACTTCAGTGGCAATCAAACTTTTAATTTTAATTTTAACGTTTTTTAGGCATTTTAAAGTGGCTTATTTGTGAATATTTTTACCAACGATTTATAATCTACATCTTTGCTGAGAAAATAAGAAAACTCTATGATTCTACCTATAAAGGTGGCTTTATGGGTATCACCGTGTCCGAGAAAAATATATCTTACATTCTTTTTCCAAACTAGACCTTTCCTTCAAACGAAAGCGTTATCCCTCCTAAAACTTCTCATAAAACAGTTTGACCAATTACATTCCAGACTTGTGTGACGTAGTAAGACGTGTCTTACAATTTTATGGAGATGTGAGCCAAATATCCATGCACATAAGACGGTTGGTGGTGTGGCCAAATGTACACGTCTTACCATTTCATCCATGCAAAAGTAGCCTTTCTTCTGTTTTTAAAATAAAGATTCTAGCTGGAATAACAACTATTACGTGTTTTCAATTATGTCATATTCAAAACTCATTCTTGTTCCGTTATCCCATTTTATTTTTTACTCGAGGAAGAGATCGGCGCGTTTAAACAATTTCAATGAACCCTGCCCCAAAATATGTCTTTCAGCACTTTAGTTGTTCAGGTTCAATTTTAATTACAAGTCATGTTACTCTTCAGTATCCTGAATTCAGAAACAATAATGCTTGAGCATAAAACAGCTTGTTACCCTTCTACCTGCAAGGCTGCAATGTCATATATAATCTTGAATTAATCTTGTATAATATTTATTGATACAATCTGTTAATATGAAGAAAAGAAGATCGAAGTAAATAAATAACTTCATGCATCAAACATTATTCGATCATTGAAATTGTCCGCCTTTTCTAAAAAAAGATTGAATAAATCAGATACACACTAAACTATGAAACATCTATTAAGCCATATATTTCGTTATCGTGATTTTTTTCTCAGATGTATTATTAACTAAGAAACACGAAAATATGTATTGTACAGTGCGTGATAAATAATAAGATGAACAAAGTCAAAAATTATATTTCAGCCCTGTCAAATATTAATTACGTTTATTGTAAGGTTCCCCAATAATTTAGTCAGATGTTTCGGTAAGTTAACGATGATTGTAGCTATATTGTGTGATTTCGATAAATTGAGTTCTGAAGCTATATATAGTTGGTAAAAAGGGCCAATTAACGTTTCAGTAGTTAATCGTCAATTATTCAACATTTCATCTCATTTTTAGTTTAGACTTGATATACTGGTTTCACCAAGTGAAGAGCTATAAAGCATTTACCTTGGAATTCTTGCTGTTTATCCGGACTGTCACCTTCAGGCCTAAAGCCGCCCACTAAAAATAATAATTCACGCAAGATAAATGAGACCGCTAGGCAATTGGTATTCGATTCATATGATTCTTTCTCCTATTTTGGGCGGAAGTTCAAATGTTTCAAACAAACTTTCTTTTGTTTCAACAACTTCTCTAGCATTTATAGCCATGTATTTTCAGACTCAGTTTTACTGAAATATATGTTGATACCAAATATCAAGCAAATATCTTGCAAAGCTGCTGAACTGATCGTAAAATTATGCCGTTAGAAGATTTTGCATCAATTCCGTTCGACTATATAACTTTGTTTATGATAAACTTCAAATCTAGATAAGTACTTACGGACACCAGGAATGAATGATGCACTCATTGCAATCACTATAACAATCATGGAGATCATTCTAACAATTGATGAAACAGGAAAGTTCATTTTGATAATTCGGTTTTACGAGTTGGAAAATGCGGAACCTAAAAATGAAGTAGCAAAATTAATGAAAAATGTATAAAATTTCAACAGATTTTGGAGGTTAATTTTCAAATTATTGTATACGGAATGAATTTCATTCATCAATAGGAAAAATAAATTAATTTTTTTTATCTTTATTTGATAGAATTTTTGATAGTCTTGGAATAAGTTTATAGAAAGTTATAAACCAATGTGTAATCAAGCTTTGTCGTCTTGTAATTGTTTTGTCATACGACAAGATTCAATAATGTACAACTTACCTTGGAAGAGTGTAAATTCTTCAGATGTCTCTGACTGACGCCTTTAAAACCGAAAAAGTTCTCCGAGTGTTCGTTCACGTAAAGAAAAGTCTCAATTAAGCTTCCAATTTCACAATGTATCTGAAATTATATACACCCGCCTGCTTCCTGATACATATTCAATGAAACAAAATTGATTGGTTTTAATAGAATTTCTCTGTCATTGAGACAATGTTCACCTCATAAAAACATACCAGGATGTTTGTCAGCGCCAAATAATTGCCATACTTTTATTTGAAAGCTTTGGATAAGTCTGGATAACAGTCTACCATCAGATTACTCATCTCTTTAAGAGTTCGTAGTTACCATTGAACCTCATAATTTTATGAAGCGTTGGAACGAGCTCTTTGGTTTTTTCGTATCGAGATCGAGGATGTCCCACACTTTTTCATCATGTATAATCCATGGCTGATGTGATGTTTTGAGAATAGCGGGCTTTAGCCCGTACCCCGACACCCCATACATTTGAATAAACTGAGATTGATTTTATTCATTGCCATCTATACTTCAGTGTCGGAGGCGATTTGCCCCCAGTAAATTTCCCCTATATGGTAAAAAGAGGGAAATCTCCATACGTTTTAAGCATGTATGTACATATGTACAACAAAACAATTCGAATAGTTTCTCAAATGAAAAAAATAATGAAGAGCGCACACATTTTCAATGCTTAATATATAAAAGGCAAGACAGAATTCAAATTATAGATTTATTAATACTAAATCTTCAATCAACTTCCTATTTGAAAAAACCTTCATGCCGGTCCAGCATTATGGAGAGATTAATGGACACGAATTGGACCCATGGATTGCTATGCTCTATTCTTGTTGTTGTTATCCGTGTCGTAAAATGTATTACCTCATTGTTCACTTTAGAATTTCCTCTGATCCTAGGGGACCCAATATTTCAACAAAAATTTTGCTCCTGTTTTTTGAATATATTAAAAAACAACTTTTTATACCGCATTTCTTACTGAACGCTTTCGTCGGTTTCGTTGACAAACTTGGTTCTCAAACTGTATTGAATTTTTGTTTTTTAAAGGGCTCTCGTCGATAGTAATTTCATGCTTCCGAATAAATCAACAAGAGCCATAAACATATGTATTTAATACTGGGTCATATATATCGTGAACAGTCTACGTGAATTTCAATTTGGTGCAAGCATGGGCAATACTAACACATACTACGGCTGGTACATAGTATGAATGTACAATATTTTAAAATGCGATTGTGGGAATTCACATCGGATAGATATTTTCTGTCTCCTGATGCGTGATCTTGAAAGACAACATGAAAACGTGAAGCATACTAGACAAAATAAAGCGATTCCCTGTTCAAAATTGAGGAATTGCTTCCGATGCAGTGAACAAAATAAAAAAAATTTGAAGGCTGAGTAGCTTTCACATGCCCAAATTATTGTAGGATTAAATACGATAGAATTAGAAAAGTCCGATATTCGGTGCTGGGTAAATCATCCCTTTGTTTGGTGTTGTACTAGAGATAAATTTACATTTCCTAATCAAATATTTGCTTTATCAATTCAATTGGCTTGCAGCATGAAATGTGCAGTTGAGTTTCGACTTATATATACCATAGGTTTATATTTTCACATAATTGAATCAAAGAATGAACTAAAATGAACGCTTTATACAAACTCATTGGCTGTCGAATATGGCCAGCCATCTCACCGAAAGTGCGGCTTTAGCTGTTATGTGGCCCATAGTTAAACCTGACAGTGACATTCATTTTTGTATGTTGATTTCAAAGCAGATTGTCTAAACGTGAGGTGGCAGCATTAACGATAAGAATATATGTCTTCGTGTGATCTTTCTTCTGAGCCATGTAATATTACCGACAGTTTGCAATCCAACATGACTCGATGCAAGTTAAAGTTGATTTGTTCGTATTCAAAGACTCAAAGTAATGCCAGTTATCCAATCTAAATGACCAGAACGAGAACAAAGATTTGCTTTGCTGGCTAGAGTTTTTTGTTATTTCCCATCACTTCATCGATATATGTAATATTTCATTTTCTACATGATGGCTTATTTATTTGACACACTGTTTCAATGATACTAAGTAGATATTTACATCATTGTGTTAGTGCCTGATACAGCAATCCAATTGAGACACAAAACATGGTGATTTTTCCGTAGACATCACACTTTTCATAGTTCAAAACCAACACAAGTTTTGCTTTAATATGCACTTTTGCGATTGATGGTCTAGTGGGGCATAAAAATAAGTTTGCAATATAATTGCAGCAGGTTTTGCGTCTCTGTTGCATCCCTGGTAAAAAGCCTAAAATTTCAACAGCGGAAAATGTTTGGATGTGCATGAACGCAGATACAAAAGTATATTGGTGCAAATATATTGAATATCAAATTTCCCGCGTTAAAATTAGCGATGAAAACGGAATGAAAGTCATGTCAATCTCTGTTTGTATTTTATGAACATTTGTCAGGTGATATTTCATTGAAATGGAAAATCATATATTCAATGCCATGTTTGTTTTTTTAAATACAGAATGAGTGTCGTTCAAAATAGCGAAAAACGTGACTTTACAATACCCGTCTCTTCTCGCAAGGGGTGGGCATGGCTCAGAGTTAACGAGGAAGTAGATGACACGAACTTGATCCATCAGCGCAAAAAATACCTTTAACATTCGAATGCTAACTTATCTTTTGAAACATTCACGATCAGACCCAAGAGAAATATATATCTCAATGCGTTCGTTATCCTAACTTTTTATGAAGTTCAGTGAATGGTCTATTCAGTGGAAGCTCTTTGACATATAATTAATGTGTCGCAATTGCTTCTATTCATTCCCGCATAAATATCGATGAAAATCTTATGGAGTCGATAACATGCTGCAAATGATGAAAGAGGCGACAGATATCTTGGTAAAGCTAGAAATTTGAAATTGAAATTATCGACGAGGATGGTGCATGTAAACATAGAGCAACAAATTTTATAAATCTAAATATGGATGATTTTTCACATCAGAATCTATATTAAGATATTTATATTTATTAAAATCTTTTATTTTATTCAACAAATTAAAGCATAAATGACAAACTTATCAAATTTTTTGTAAAACATGAAATTTTCAAACGGTTCGAAAGTCAAGTACACGAAACTGAATTTATATTCAAAGTAAAACCCGAAAATTTGGCCATGCCAAATACATGTGTGGTACATCGTTGATCTTTACTTAATATTTATTTCATTTTTTGATTTTTATGCATGAAAACGAAAAAATGTAAAAAACGTGAAGTGCGTAGACATAACACAACTAGGAGACAACAACGTTACAGAGGAGCGCCTAATGCGTTAAAAAATCCGAAAATTTTATTGACCGCTGAGTAACTTCAGATTCTGAGTTTATATTCCATCACTCCAGAACCTTAATTCATATCTATTAGTTGAATAAAATAATATATACCATCATATTCACGTTTGAAATTTCACTCGTGAAAAAATCTTTTACTTTAATTGTATACATTTCTATTTTTTACATATTGTATATAACTGTGTTGGAAACTCATGTATTTTATATTTACGCCTTACACTGCAGGGACTCAGAAATCAGAAATGGTGTCATAATTTGAATGAAACTTTTTTAGGAAATAAAATAATCTGGTTCCAAATTGTTCTTCAGGTACATCATCGAATGCGCCGTCGATTCTTCTCGGTGGTAAATACATAGGCGTGTCAGGCTGGGATTAACAGAAAATAAAGGTAAATGTTGCCAATTTTGCTTCATTAGATTGTTTTAATCAGGTAGTAGTAGTTCGGCTTTATATTACCTGACGCTTGAGTGAAATATATCATTCCATATAAGACGACTCGAAAGCATTTTCAATTCTGACGTTGGAAGCTTTTACGGAACGATATCAAAGGAATTTGGGATGATTCGCGGTAAATTATGAAAGGTTGCTCTTATTCCGATAAATATATATATTTAATACACTTGTATGACAAAGTAAAAGCTATAGATAGAATTTTTTGAATTGTGCTATAAGTCAGTGATTCCCAAAGTGGGCGATATCGGTCCCGGTGGCGATTTCGCAAAAACCTGTTTTTGTTCGGCGCATCGTGCACTTGAATACTGTACCCTGCGTGCTTTCGTAAGTTCGAATTACGTGGGCGATTATCACACGCGAAAAGATTGCTGGACTCGTCTCCGCCGTAAGAAAGGTACACTTTTTATATAAACATTTTTCCTCCCCGTATAAACGTGATAGAACTACCAATCCAGTATCTCTGAATTGATTACAAGACCTCTTTCCGCGTGACGCTGCCAAAGAGCGATATCGCTATTCTCCATACCGTGGTGGGTTGTTGAATCAGAATTTTCAAAAATTTTTGTTCGAGAATTTTCAATCAAAGTCAGCCGTAGGAAACAGAATAGCGATAACAACTAATTTCCTATTTCCGTGAATAGTACTTTACCCCCCTCTTTCCAAAGAAACAAGACTGACAATCTGAATATAAACCAGACACGAGATATCGCCGTGAAAGTCAAAACACGGCTGGATTTTCACTACGATATGACGTCATATGTTTTCTGTTATTTATGCCAAATAAGCTTTTTATGTATCTTTAGCAACGTTATTTCGGTCTCTTTATGTTAGTTCATTCAAGAGAGTGATAACTGGCTTTGTTTCTATTCCAGTGGGGCGAAAATAATAATTTGGTGAAAAATATTTAGAGCAAAATTTTTTTATTCTGCCTCACCATAATATATAAAGATGTGATAGAAACTATTTCTTTACTTTTCTAAACTGCGTTTTATCTGTCCTTTCAAACAAGTCTTTTTGAATTGAAATAAGATGGGACATATTGTCTTCAAAAGATGCAGAGACTGTCGGCTCCCAGTTTTTGTTTCTAAAACTGTGACGTCATAAACATTATTTTTCAGCTTTCAATGTATCTTGAATGACGAAATAAACCCAGGTGGTTGTTACAATACCTCCTTCATTGAGATTCTATACTTGAAAGCAATAATTCCTATGTGAAAAAGTCAATATAGGGTTCTATACATCACGACTCGCCTATCACCACTATTTAGAAAATCTGATTACGTAGT